TTTGTGGAACTGTCAGTTTCTCTTTTCAGTGCTGTTGAAGTTTGTTTTATGTATTTTGGAGCTCTGTCATTGGATGTGTATATGTTTATTATGGTTATGTCCTCTTGGTAGATTAACCCTTTAATCATTATTTAATGTCTTTCCTTGTCTTTCATGGTGGAGTTTGCCTTAGAGCCTATTTTATCACAGATTAATATTGCCACTCCTGCTCTTTTTTGATCGTTGTTTGCTTGATACATCTTTTTTCCATTCTTTTATATCTTAGTGTCTAAGTTGTGTTTCTTGCAGACAGCATATTGGTGGGTCGTGTTTTTTTAATCCATGCTGCCACTCTCTGTCTCTTTACTGGTGCATTTAGGCCATTTACATTCAGTGTGATTATCAGCAGGTATGAGTTTGTTGCTGTCATTTTGTCACGCTTTTTTTGTTGTGTTGATGTTTCTTCATTCCACTTAATTTTCTGTGCTGAGTTTTTTTTTTTGCTTGTCTTTTCATTTCCTTGTTGTTGGTTTTGTGTATACTAAGTCTCTATGATTTTCCAGTTTTATATTTTGGTGAGTAGGTTTGTTAACTTTCTTTGAGCTTATCCTAAAATTTACCTTTATCTTCCTAAGTTTGAAACAGTAATTTATTTCTTGATATCACCTTGACTTCTTCTCCATATGGAAGTTCTAAACCTATACCTTTTATTCCCCCTTTATGTTTTAAAGTGGTTGCATGTTACTGATTGACCTCTCTGGTTCCCTGTTTTTCATCTTTTAGCTTTATTTTATCTTTGAGAGTTTTTTATCTGAGTTGATATCGTATGTTGTCATGTGTTTTAATCTCAGATTGTTTTCTGGTGTTAATTTTCCGTCTGAAGGACTCCCTGTAACGTTTCTTGTAGAATTGGTCTGTTTTTTTTTTTTACAAATTTCCTTAATTTACGTTTATCTGGAAATGTCATAAGTTCATCATTGTATTTGAGGGATAGTTTTGCTGGAATATATAATTCTTGGTTGGCAGGTTTTTTTTTCAAGGTTTTATATATGTCATCCTATTGCCTTCTTGCCTGCATGGTTTCTGCTGAGTGATCAGAGCTTAGTCTTATCCATGCCCCTTTCAAGGTGATCTTTTGTTATTCCCAGGCTGCTTTCAAGATTCTTTGTCTTTTGTTTTTGAGAGTTCGATTATGATTTGTCTGGGTGTTCTTTTGGGTTTGTTGTGCTTCTTAGATGGTTATCTTCTTGTCTTTCATGATATTAGGGAAGTTTTCTGTCAGCAAATCTTCAGGAACTTTCTCTGTGCTTTTTGTTGACTCTTCCCTTTCTGGTATTCCAATCACACTGTTGTCCTACTTAACTCTTAGGCTTTGTTCATTCTTTTTTATGATTGTTCCATAAACAGATTAGTGTCATGGGATTTGTCTTCTGTCCTGCTGATCCTGTCTGTTGTTTCAATTCTACTCCTGTGAGTTTCCACTGAGTTGTCTATTTCTGAAATTTTTTTGCTAAACTTCTGGATTTCTAGTTGCTGTTTTTGTATGGTTTCCAATTATCTATTTATTTTGTCATTTTGTTCTTGTATTGTTTTCGTGAATTCTTCAGGTGTTTTGTTTGTGCTTCGTTTGGTTTTGTCTGTGTTTTCCATAGTTTTGTCTGTGTTTTCCTTGATTCCTTTGAGGACCCTTTACATAGATCTTTTGAATTCGTTATCAGGAAGCTCTATTACCTTTTCTTCCTCAAGAAAGTTTTCTGGTTCTTTATTTTGGTCACTTGCTGGGGTCATCTTGCCCTGTTTCTTTAGGTAGTTTGCTATTGTCTGTTGTCTCCGGGACATTAAGGGGTTATTGAATTTGTTTTTTAATTGTATAATTGTTTGCTGGGTCCTGTTTTCTGTTTTGTTTTGCTGATCCCTGGTAAGCATGGCTGGCATGGTGCTCTGGTTGCTGTACTGGCTGTGCTGGATCTCTCCCTACCTGTGTCTGGGTGAGTGAGGTGGTATGTAGGTGTGGGAGTGTGGATCTCTGTTTACTGGTCTTGGTGTGTGGCTGAGGGTGGGTTGGTCGGGCTTTGGCCTCCATCTGTCTTTGGTTCCATGGCACAGGAGCCAGGGAGTGTGCTCTCCATGCAGGTAGAGTGGCTGATGTGTTTGTCATGGGCAGGTGGGGGTATCATTGTCACCTCTCGCTGGCTGGGAAGGGGGAGCTGTGGGTGATAGAGGGAGACAGTGGGCAGACACGCACATAGTCACTCTACCTCCGCCTCCTCCTTTGCAGAGAGGGAGGAAGCGGAGAAAGGAAGGAAGGAACAAACGGCGGGCAGATGCTCGCTCAGGTGCTCTACATCCACCTGTCTGTGGGCAAGGAGAGCAAGGAAGGTACAGCATGCAGATGTGCACACACTGGCTCTGCCTCCATCTCTCACTAGGCAGTGGGAGGGAGGAAGGGGGCTGTGGAGGGACACACGTGCAGTTGCGGCTCCTCTGCCCCTTGGGCCGGTTAAGGAAGGAGTCGCGCCTGGCAGATGTGCGCGCAGTGGCTGTGCCTCTGCCTCACACCAGGTAGTGGGAGAGAGGAAAGGGGCTGCGGGGGGATGCATGCGCAGTTCTGGCTTCTCTGTCCCTATCTGGGTGGGTTAAGGGAGGGAGTTGCTCCTGGCGGGTGTGCGCGCAGTGGCACAGCCTCCACCTCTCACCATGTGGGGGAAGGGAGATGAGGCGGCAGAGGGCTGTCTTGCTGCCACTGCCCCCGCCCTGGACCCTTGGAGTGTAAGTGGCAGGAGGTTGTGCATACAAAGGCATGCCTAGTCTCACTTACTGAGTGGGCAAGGGGGCAGAGTGGATGGGGATCACTGGGGTAGAGGGAAGAGGATAGGCTCATTATTACCTGTTAGGCTGGGCGGTTGGGGTCTGGGATGCTCTACTGCCTCCAATCAGGAGGATGGGGTAAGGAGGAGTGTGTCCCTCCAGTTAGGACACATGAGTGCCAGGGCACCTTGTGTCAACCGCAGCAAGCTGGGCCTGTTTTCTTGAGTGCGAGGAGTCGGGGTTGCCCGGGGGCTGTTTGTGTGAGAGAGCTCTTGCCAACGCTCTGCAGGTCCACCGCCTTGTGCGTACCACTCATCCCTGAGGTCAGGAGCTGCTGCTCCTGAGTATCTCCGGTTCTGGATCCTGGCTCCCTCTCTGTCTCTGCTTCTTTCCATGTGTGTTTTTTAGAGTTTCTGTGTTTCTGTAGGGAAAGTCATGTAGTTTGGCTTGCTGTTTTCTTCACCCTGGGTCACTGCTGGCTTTGTCTTAAGGTGGCCGCCTTGGGCAGGGATGGCTGGCTGAGCTGCTCCATTCTGTGTTAACTCTCCTCATTTGCTGCTTTCATTCACTTTTTCCTTCCAGTTGGTGTTTGGTTCAGTTCTTTTTCGATGTTCAGGGTTCCCAGATTGTTAATCTGCTTCTGTGTCTCTTGTTTTTTTGGTCTTTGGTGCAGGGGGGCGTTATGGTGCCTGTGACTAAGCTGCTGTCTTGGCTCCGCCTCTCCAGAGGTTTATTTTTGTTGTTGTTTGTTTTCTTGTTTGATAAAAGAAGTCGTATGGCAATGAGCAAGTCATTTAACCTCTTGGCCTTAGTTTTGTTTTAACTTCTTTTTTGTTATTATTGTAAAAAAATATATAACACAACGTTTGGCAATTTAGCATTGTTTCTGTGTATAATTTAGTAACACCAATTACATTAATCATGTTGTGCAACCATCAGCAGTATCGATTGTCAACTTCTCCGTCACCCTCAACAGAAACTCATTGATTCCTAAACACTGATTCCCCCTCTCCCCCTCCCTTTCACCCCTGGTGATCACCAATAAACTTTGGTTTCTATGCATTTACTTATTCCAGATCGTTCCTATATTGAGATCATACAATATTTGTCCTTTTGTGATTGACTTCACTCAGCACGATGTTTTCAGGTCTGATCCATGTTGTAGCAGGTATGAGGACTTCATTTCTCTTCATAGCTGAATGGTATTCTTTTGTATATATACACCACATTCTGTTTATTTGTTCCTCTGTTGGTGGACTTTTCGGTTTTTCCACCTTTTGACGATTGTGTGTAGTGCTGCAGTGAGTATTGGTGTCCCTGTGCCTGTCACTGCCTTGCGTATACATAGGTAGAAGTAGAATTGCTAGGTCATATGGTAGTTCTATGGTAAACTTTTTGATGGACCGCCAAAATGTTTTCCACAGTGGCTGTACCATTTGCATTCTCACTAGCAGTGGATAAGGGTTCCAGTTTCTCCACATCCTCGCTAACATTTGTTGTTTTTCTTAGCCATTCTGGTGGGGGTGAAGTGGTGTCTCACTGTAGTTTTGATTTGTGTGTCCCTGTTAGGGTCACTGTGAGTCAAAACCGACTCCATGGCAACTAACAACAGCAGCGGTGGCTAATAATGTTGGTTGTCGGCCATTTGTATAACTTTGGTGAAACGGCTGTTCAGATCCTTTGCCCATTTTTTAATTGGATTATTTGTCCTTTTGTTATTAAGTTGTTGGAGTTCTTTTTAAATTCTGCATATGAAACACTTATCAGCTATATGGTTCCCCCAAATTTTCTCTCAGTCTGTACATTGTCTTGGTTTCCTTTTTTTGACAAAAGAGAATCCTAATACTCACCTTAAGGATTGTTATGAAAGTTAAATTAGGTCATGTATGAGACAGTGTTTTTTAAACTGTATAGCAGTATGCCAGGATAAGGTATTGTAGTTGATATAATTTATTGTTAATTTTAAGGAGCCCTGGTGGCACAATGGTTAAGTACTCGTCTGCTAACCCAAAGGTCGGCGATTTGAAGCCATCAGCAGCTGTGCAGGAGTAAAGGCCTGGTGATCCACTCCTGTATAGGTTACAGCCTGAAAAACCCTGTAGGGAAATTCTACTCTGTCCCATGGGGCCGCTATGAGTCAGAATCAACTTGCTGGCATACAACAAGAACAACCATAGTGTTAATTTTAAAACATGCATTTTACCACCTCCTAGGTCAGTACAGTCTACATTTCAACAATATTCCTAATCAGCCAGAGGACGAGAACGTAATGGGACTACTCCAAAAAACTGAGGCTGTTTCATCTGTCTCAGATGAAAATAAATCTGTTTTAAATAAAAAGCAGGAGACATCTAAGCAGCTTGAGCAGAAAATTGCTACGTATGTAACTCATGTCTGTTATTGTTATCTTGGGGATGATATGACTTTACTTTTCCTTTACTGCATGTGAAATATTTACTCTGAAGACTTAGAGCCATTTAAAAGTTTACTAACTTTAATGGAGTAAGTTGTGTTAAAATGTATAATGATAAGGTTTCTTTTTCTTTTTTTTATTATTGCCTTAGAGAGACTGTATGGAAACCAGCTGACATATTCAGTACTCTCGGGGAAAGAGAACGTGATAGAAGTTTGTTGGAAGCAAAGAAAGCCCAGTGGAGGAAGGAGCTAGGTAGGTAGTTTTTAAAGCTTACAGTATAGTTTTATTGGCTTAAAAAGTATTTATTGAGCATGAAGTATGTTTTTCAGTATGGTACTATCAAAAATCTTGTTTTATAACATCTGACATCTAGAATAGTTCTCTACAAACACGCAAGAAACTTTGTAGCTGCCAATTGCCCTTTGTTTGGTACTCTGCAGTGTGCACCAGAAGCCAGGGGTGAGCCCATAGCTCAAACAAATTAACTTTTCTCATTTCCTGAGAATCTTTTTTCATATTTTTCCATTACATAAATCCTGCGGGTTTAAAGGCGGTTTTATTAACAAATAACTGATTTCGTTTTTTTAAATGATCAAAAGTTCTAATCAAGAGTTTCTAACCAGTATATCACTCAGTATCTTCTAGACAAAAACGAGCACTGCTTTTTGTTAGTCTGTGGACCTTAACACGGAAAAATGTAATTTCTGTTAGGGTCTTGAAATATTGATAATAAGAAACTCCCATTAGTTCTTGGACTAGAAGTAGGGTCCGGTAATCAGTTTGGAAAATGTACATAGTAACTGTTTTACTTCTTAGGAATACTGAACCAAAGCCAACCATTGCCGTTGAGTCGATTCCGATTTATAGTGGCCCTATAGAACAGAGTAGAACTGCTCCATAGGGTTTCCAAAGAGCAGCTGGTAGATTTGAACTGCTGACCTTTTGGTTAGTAGCCGAGCTGTTAATCACTGCACCCCCAGGGCCTCCCTTTTAGGAATAGCTGTACTAAAAGCATGAAGATGGACATCACCCTCCACTCAGCTGGTAAGGTGTATGAGGCAGTCAGTAAACCTGCTGGGACAGGTAATTTAGAAAAAGAAATAAGCAGCAGAAATAGGGAGTGAATTTATATTGGAAGTGAAGGTATGAAAAGAAGAATAAAGAAATTTAAAAGTACAGTAGGAATATCAGAAGGTTTGGGGGTGTGATGTGTACTTATATCACAGTTTCAGCTTTAAATATTTCTGGACTAAATATTTTCTTTCAACACAAATGCAGCTTATCAAAACACAGTTCCAAACTTACTTGAAATATTTTATGCTTTAATTATTATCTCAGAAAGCAATTAACTTTTAAAAAAAAAAAACTTGATCCTTTTAGAAAAGTACATCTCACTTTGTCTAAATCATGTTTTTGTTAATTTTCCTGGAATTAAATTTACACATCTCTGACTTTTATATTTCCTTTGAAGAACTATTGAGGATTTTGGATTTATTTGTTACTGTCTCTGTTAGACACAAGATTTTGTTTTGTTACTTTTCAGCGGTTATGAATAATAATGATCAAATGTTTATTAAATATTTACTTTATGCTAGACCCTACACTGAAGTAGGTACTGTTATTACCCCTATTTCATAGAGGAAGAAATTGAAGTTTAGAGAGGTTAACAGCAATTTGCCCATAGCTAAAAATAGTTGAACTTGTTAGGGTTTTCTGACTCCAGAGTCCTAGCTTTTAATTCTCTTTATAATAACTGAATGACCATAACAAGAACATAGAATAATTAGCATAATATGAAATAAGTTATTCTGAACAAACTTTCTCCTTACTGATATTTGTGGTAATAAACAAAACAAACACTTTTGTATCCGTTTGTGCCGTGTTTAAGTTTGGTTCTGATTGTTTTCTTTTACTCCACATCCCTTAAAATTCCCTCTCTGTCTTGTGGTTAATCTCCCTGAAAAACAATTTTGATTAGATCTTTGTTGGAATCTGCACTCTTTAATGAAGGTCATGATTTGCTTACGTGATTTTTTTTTTTACAGTTTTTATACATTTTTTTTAAAAAGGACATTATTTACAGATGAACAGGTTGCTTTAAAGAAGAAAGAAAAAGAAGCTTCTGAAAAATGGAATAATAATCCTTGGAAAAAATCTGAAAGTGATAAAACAGTATGGGAAAAACCTCAAATTCTTGACCAATCTCGGGTAAGCGTATTTGAAAACTGAGCGTTTATGGAACATAAGAGATTGTTTTTAAAATGCTAAGTGATGTTCATAGTGTAAAACTTTTTTTATATCTATATTTAAATTATATTATTTTAAAATTATCAATTCAACAGCAATTGGTTTTAACCTTATGGTACCCAGTGTTTGCTTGTCAAACGTAAGTACATACCCGATGTCCATTGGATAGTACTTTTGTGATCTTTAAATTTTGTCTGCATTAAATTTTAGACAGAGAGAAAGGGCCCTTGTTCTGTGTTTTTAGACATCTACTAGCTCTTCAAGTGCTCCGTCCCCGTCCCCCAGCCAAGCAGTGGCAGTCCAGGCCGATGGACACTCAGTGGTCAGAGCTAGTCAGATTTTGGAGGTGAGTCCTAGTGTCAGTATTTTGAATATTTAAACCCTACAGTATTTGATCTCTGCATATCCTGTTTCTTCTTTAGGGTGTAAAGCTGAAAATGGTCTTATTTTTAATTACTAGTTAATGTTTACTGGGTAGACTATGTTCCTTCAAGTAAGAAAAAGTTATTAGCCATTTCTTTTTACACGTAATCCCTCCCTCCCAGTGACCATTTGCGTTTCAACAGATGTATTCTGGACATAATGCAGTAACCCAGGGGGATGATTCTACTCATCCTTTTACTATTTAAATGCAATTTTTATGTGTTTGTGTGTGAATGTGGTGAGATCCTGCAGGGGTGCTGTTGAGGGTCAGTGATTAACTGTAACAGAAGAGCCCTCCTCTCAAATACCTGAGAGCAGTTGGTTTCAGAAATCCCAGCCATAGCCACAACGATGTGTACAACTGTGTATTTAGTTAGCCTCTTCATGTAATTGGGAGGGAGAAAAGTTTGGTTGCAGACAAGGCCTCTTTTGTTAAAATGTGAAATAAAGCAGTAAGTGCTTTAGAATAGTAGCTAACATGTAACACGTGTTTAATGAAGATTTGCTCTTGATACAATTGACGAGACAGGTCTGTCTGGACCCCTAAGGCGGCTTAGGGTCGTTCCTCTCATCAGCGTCCTTTCCTCTCTCCTCTTCTTGATGCTCAGTCTCACCCCTCTCGCCAGTTGAATACAAGTCACCTGCCTTATAGTATCATCTCTATCGTTTAGCCTGCATATTCTTCTACACTGTGCATTTTAAAACTCCTGCGGTGTTTATAAGAAATTCCCTTACAGCCTCAGCTTTTTTAGGACTACCTCACTTAATGAAAACTTGACTTTTATAATGACCACAGACGGCTCCTAATGACTTCCCCTCCCTTGGGAAACTCTGAAGTAACCAAACCTAACCCACTGCCATTCCAACTCAGTGACCCTGTAGGACAGAGTAGGTAGAGCTGCCCCAGAGGGTTTCCAAGGCTGTAAGCTTTACCGAAGCAGACTGCCACAGCTTTCTCCTGTGGAGCAGCTGGTGAGTTTAAACCGCCAACCTTGGTTAGTGGCTGAGCGCTTAACCACTGTGCCACCAGGGCTCCTTTCTCTTAAGGGCGGTATATTCTAACATACTCTTTAACATGGGGTAGAAAGTGGTGTTGTCATTCAGATAGCTTCTTATTGCTTCCACCATACCATAGTTCTGTACTCAGCCAGCAAAAATTCCTCCCGTTTTAGTTTCTGTCACCTAGCTTTCCCCCCTTCCTTGCCCTCGTCCTTGTCATCCACATGCTTTGTGTTAAATTTTCTAAAGACCTTGGCTTACTGTTTGTTTTTTAACTTTAATTGCTGCTGTCTTGATGAGGGGAGGAGGGGGGACAGGCTCTAAGTATTCTTGAGGATGATTGCATACCCTGACTTCACAATTCCTTGTCTCCTTGCCCGCTCACCACCCCTTTTTTTAATCAACCCTGTCTTGACGTACAGACTAAATTTCATGCCTGAGAATTTGGATTTTCTAGACCTTCTCCGCCTCTGAAACATTTAATTCTCGTATCCCAGTTTGTAATTACAGCCCGTATGTACCTGGCTTGCCCACTTTTCTTCCACGTCTTCTTTGATGTCGGTAAGACCCTGCTCTTCTAGGCTGTCAGCCCCTTTCCTGGCTTTGGTTCTTCTCCTACCCAGCCTGGACCATCTGTTGTTTCAACCACGTGGTTGTCATTGCCTTTGTTTCCCTCATCTGAGAAACCTTTTATAACATGCACCCTGCTAATCAGCAGCCCTTTTTCAGTCTTGCTCTCTGTTCTTCTGGTCCTGCTTGCAGACTACTAGAGAAAAGGGTGGAATTGTGAAGACTAGTTTTTATTTGAATGGTTTCAATTCTTCGCTGGGTCTAAACATTGCCAAGTAGATTCCAACTCATGGCAACCCCATGCGTGCAGAGTAGAACTGTGCCCTACAGGGTTTTCAAGGCTGTGACATTTTGGAAAGCAAATCACCAGGAAGGCCTGTCTTCTGAGATGACTCTGGGTGGGTTTGAACTGACAACCTTTCAACTAGTAGTCAAGTGCTAAACTGTTGGCACCATCCAGGGACTCCTTAAATGTTGCCTGGGTGTTCTGGTTAGATTGTGTTGGGTTCCTTGATCATTCTGTATGGTTGTTCGAATCCTTTAACCCATCTACTGCACTCTCAGCAGACGATTTAATCAGAGAGGCAAGAGAAACTGCATAGCATAAAATGCGTCAATTTTCTTTCCATTTATTCCAGAATTTATGTACATCTTTCTACTTAGTTTTTGTGTCAGTGAAAAGATGTTGTTAATATTTGCAAGTCTAACTTCTTTGGTCTTATTTCTGTTTCTGTCAGCTCTCTCTACCATGGATTTAAAATTCTCTCTGCCCACTGACTTTTTCTCCTCAGTTTAAAAGCTTGTTTAAATCTCACTCCATCCTAAAAAATCCTCAACTGTAACTCCTTAAGCTATTACCCCTTCTTAGGCTGCTGCTTTCTTTAGCTACTACTGTTAGATTCCTTTAAGATTAGACTACATTTTCTGATTATACGTTTTTGTTTTCTCTTCATTCAGAAACTCACAGTAGCCTGGCTTTTGCTTCAGCCATTCTTGAGAAAAGTTACTGGTTACCTGACTTCTAGTCACCACATTTCATGGGTTCCTTTTCAGTCCTCATCCTGTCTCACGTCACTGTAATATGATGATGTCGCTTACCCCTTTCTACTGTTGGGGATTATTTTCTTGGCTTCCTTGAGCTGCCTCTTCTAGTTTCCTTCATGCTTTTAATATTCACTCCTCCTTTGCCTGTATCTTAAATATTAATATTTTCAAGGTTCATTTCTCCCCCTCACCAAGTTTTAGTTCTTGGTTTTTTGCTTACTGCCTGTTCTTCTGAGACAGTTGGCATAGTCCTCCCTCCCCCAAATTAAAAAAAAAAATACCAAGAATAATACAACATTCTCACCACTTAGAATTGACGGTTGTTAACATTCTCTCATTCCTGCTTCATCTTTTCTGTTTTTAAAAGCGTAAAGTTGCAGCCCCCCATCATCCCCCCAACCCCACAGTGTCCCATGAGTTTGATATGTACTCCTCTGGTAGTCTTTTTTTTTATTTTTTTTATTTTTTTTTTTAATATTTTATTGTACTTCAGGTGAAGGCTTACAGAACAGATAGTTTCTCATGTAACAGTAACACACATGCTGTTTTATGACATTGGTTAACAACCCCACAACATTTTAACCCTCTAAATACTCAACTTTTTTTTTTTTTTTGTGAAAATACACATAGCCAAAGATACGCCATTTCAAAAATTTTTTTTTACATACACATTTAAGTGACATTGACTACGCTCTTCTAATTATGCTGTTATTCTCACTTAAGATGAAGGCTTACAGGACAAAATAGTCTCCCATTTGACAGTTACTACAAATGTTGCCCTATGACAATGGTTAACAATCTCACAACACATCAACAATATCCTTACTCTACTCTGTGTTCCCTATCATCAGCTTCCTACTCCCCTTCTGCCTTCTGGGCCTTGTCACTGGACTCCTGTACCTCGTTACTCTCATGGTTTTACTGGGCTGTCCACTCGCAGTCTGGTAGTCTTTTTTTTTAATGAGTAGATATACAAACCAGGGCTTCTAACCATTTTGAACCAGTTCAGTCATGGCCAATGAAGCGAAATTGGAACAGACCCAAATTTTTAAGATTTCGGTGAAGTGGAAGATAACCAGAACAGGAAAAATTATGGATCAAAGCCCTAAAATGAGAGACTCAGAAGAGACGTAATGAGCCCTTTCAGGAGCCTGGTGCAGGAGATTGGATTATTGCCAGGATTTTGGAGCGTGACACACATTCAAAGTGGCATGGTCAGCTGTCATCTTTGAGCTGGGCACAGCTGTTTCCAACTCTGTAGGTCAGAAGATTTGGTTGCTATGCAACATGCATGCTACCCTTGTTTTCTAAGAGGGAGATTAAGTTTCTAGCAGGGCTTTGGCCTGTAGTTTTTCTTCTTCCAGTTATCATTCTGATTCTCCCACATTTTAAAAATTCAGGCTGTTCAGGTTTTGCTTCATCATCTATGATTGAATTGTGCAGAACGGGTTCGAAGCTCTGATACAAATGTTCATCTGCATTAATGCCAAAGACATTCATAATCGTGTTGGCTCATGTATATGTATCTCTTTTTTTACTTTTAAACTTTCTGACTCTTAAAAATATTACGTAATATTTCTGACATGCAAAAGTATATAAGGGAAAATACAAAACTTCTCTTTCCAAGTCATGCACAGAGAATAGCCCCTTATAGCGTACTCAGAATTCAGTAATTTCTATGGATTTATGTCACTAACAGGACAAGATTTTTTTTTTCTTTTAAATAGCAGGTTACACGCCAGTAGAATCAAAATGACATACTGACAATGTTTATATTCTTTTTGTTAGGTTACTTTAGACTCCTGGAGTAGTGTTGGTATATTGTTAGTCCCTTCCGGACAGAACTGGGTTATGAGCTAGTTGTAGCCTGGTCCCAGTCCACTAATTGCCCAGTTTTAGGTGGGCATACATGCTACATCCTGATCAAAATGAGCCAGTCCTAGCCAAAGCTTCGCTTTGCCTCTCTATACTGGGCAGTGTTAAGAAAACCCTGTCTTATTCTTCCAAAACTGAATTCTAAAGAACTGGATGGTCTCTTTGCCTTGCCAGGAAGATGTAATAGTTAAATAGAATAAGGAAATGGAATTGTTTGAAGGCCTTTTATGCTCCAGGAGCTGTCCTGGGCACTTTATATCCACGTGCACTAACACTCTGACGGCTGCAGGAGAGCACTGAGAGCAAGCCGGGCATCCCCAGCACTAGGCCTAGCTAAGCCTTGTTTTGTTCATGGAGGAGTAAACAGGAAAAAAAAACAAAGACTATGAAAATATTCAGCAATAGAAAGGGGGATATTCCTGCTAAGTACTCAAG